GATTTTTATATTTGTCATATAATATGACTGAATTATTTTTCATACCAGCGGCAAATTTGTGAATAAGATGGGATAAGGTCATAATATCTGAAACCATTTTAAGATAATTGTATTTCTTTGAGAAGATATTGAGGTAATTAAATGAGAAAAATCTGCTGGTTCGCACTTAGTTAAATTGCCAAATTTTATACAGAAAATTTACAATTGAAAACAATTTATGTATAGTAAAAAAATTTTTGAATAAGAAGCTCTTTTATATTAGTTTAAAACAATATTTTCCACTGTTTTATTAAATTCAACAAAATTATTCAATTTGGTTTTTCTAAAATTTTCGGAAATGCTAATGTTAAAATAATAGTTTCCTAATTTTTTAAGTAACATATTATTGTGGATGAATGCAGGACGAATGTTTTTTAATTTACAATTAAACTATTTTTTCAATTAATTTTCACCTGGAGGTGTTAGCTGCATCTATTTACTGTAATGCAAATGGAATTTCCTATCTCATAGTAATTGTAATCAATCTCAGCGTAGACAGACGCTGGACGACAATTCTCTCGTGACTACGAAATTATCACCACGTGCGGTTAAATCCAATTTCTCCCACAATCAGCAATTGCAAATCGCTTCCGTGCCTGTTCAGCAGCAACCAGAAATACAAATGCGGTTCAATTTATGCCACTGGCAGGTCTCCGCTGTCGAGCGGGTTGCATAAGGCTGATTTGCTCAGGTGGCCCGCGCAAACCTCAACGGGGCCGCCCGACGTGCTCGTGACAGCTTGATCAAAAATTCATCTGCGAAGTTTGATTGAGCCGTAATTATTCATGGCGTCCGAAATAATTAGCCGTGCTGTCTCTTTCCCGCTTACTCCTGCGGCAGCAGCGTCGACGGCAAGTGCTCATCCAACCCCTCGTCGGATCCATCTATTCGCTATCTATTCGCAGCAGCATCAAAATTTCACTCGCCCCTCGGCTGGCGCGGGTCTCTCTAATATAAATTCACGCTGCAAAAGTGATGTTGAGTTGCGATGAGCAAGTCGACGGGTGCTTTGCCTCCACCTCGCCGCGCGCAGGGGTGGCATTCACATTATCAGAAAAAAAGGAGCCTTCTTTTATAGAGGCTCTAATATTTACTTTTACAGAAAAAAATTACTTGTACTATTTCAATTTAAAATTTTGCGCAGATGATATAAATTTAATAATTAAAAAGAATTCCATCGTTCTCTTTTTGTTATTTTTGCAGAACGTTAAAGCGTTGTCAGGAAAAAAAATTATATTTTTAAAACAATAATAAAAACAAATTTTCGTTGGTTTCTTTTTTAATTCGCGGTCACATGCCATACAAGAAGTGTAAAAATCAAATAATAAATTATTTTCCACACATATGTTCACTCTTTCAATAACTGAATTATTTATTTTTAAATTGTGAAATGTAAAAATTTATGAAAACGTGGATTACTTTTACATAATACAATTAATGAAAATTGAAAATAATTAATAAAATAATATTTAGAGAACAGATTTATAATTTAAATACTCTTCTTTGGTGCGGCAAGTAAAAGAGTAAATTAAAGAAAATCTCTGGATAACTTTGTATTATTTTAAGAAAACCACATTTGTTATAGTAGAGGAAATGCCAGATAATGTAAATAAAAAATATATCCAAACAATATAAAATGCAAAAGCCCATAACATAGAAGGTCCTGTTCCGTCTGATGTCTCCCGCCGAGAGCAACCTTGGGGTTTACTCTGCTGTCCAAACATAATCACAAGTCGATCACAACTTGAGCCCCGGGGCGCAAATAGAGAAAATGTAAAGAGAAAGTAGCAGGGTGGAAGTGAGCGAGCTAACGCATCTCGGTATACGTACAGTACATCGGTCGAAAATGAAGAGGGCTGCACTACCGCGCTAATGCTGGTTAAATTGCGATGAGAGCGAGGTCGCCGAGAGCAAGTAAAATACGTATTATATATGAAATTTTTATCCAGCGACGGCTGCCTGCCGGGGCAGAGAGCTTCGCCGCAAAAGCAAACTTTGACAAGAGCTGTTATAAAAATTTATGAACGACTATCTGTTAAAATGTGGAAAGAAGTAGAAGCGTCGCATGACTTTGGGCTTTTCACTGATATCATTAATTAGCGGGTCATTATGTAAAGAACGTTATTGAGTTAATATTGAAAAATATGAATAGCTCTTTTTACTTTTTTTTACTTCAAGCAAATTTAACATGCATGCACGTTGAGTTGTTCGAACGGAAGCAAAATATGCAGAGAACGTGCGCCCAACCAGTCACATTTCCGCCGAGGCGGCAAATCAGTGCAAAAAGTCGTTTGCACTCGGTGGAGAGTCTAGACTGTGCAAATAGAAGAAGAGCAAGCAATGCACACAGCGACTCTTTCCATCTTTCATGAATATTTACAGAGAGATAGAGGGCGGAGTGCATTATTACCATGCAGAGAGGTTGGCTCGTAGGAAAACGCCTCGCTCGCTCTCCTAGGATCTTTTGCTTTGATCGTTCTGTGTAATAATTGTCAATTACAACCGGCTCGCCAGCTTTAATGCGAGAGAGCAGGAAAGTGAGCATCTCTCTCTGGCTCTGGCCGACTTGCATCTATCTATCTATATATCTATCTGGTAGTTTCGCCCTCGTCGCAAGTTTGCGCCAAAGGACAAAGTTTTAATCACGGGGCGCGCGTGTGTATTAGATTGCAGGCCGAGGGAGTGATATCGCGAGCAGTAGCACTTCAAGTGTCAAAATTACTTAAATCCCAGCAGCCAGATGGAAATTATCAGCAGCGCAAAGGCGAAATTTTGGGCGAAAAGTTGGTCCTGCGATAATCAGGAGTGAATGGGGGTGACGTTTGAAGAGGATGAAGTTCGATGGGTCGTCTCGCTCCTGCCTGGCTGATTAATGCGTTTTGAAACTTTGAGGATCTGAAATATCGGGGTCTAGTTATATCACCTAAAGATTAAAATTCGTTCATAGGTAACGCTTTAGCTAAAGTAATTATTTTTTTACTGTTTTTAAGTTAACAACCCGAGTTTTGAAATATCTGTACATACAGAAAATTTTTAAACATGGTCTCATAAAACTTATCTTTTCGCAACAAAGTTTTAGCCCACTCTCTAGACCACATTTAATTTTTGACGTTCTTCAGAGGTGCTCCCTGAGCGCGAATATCCTAGACATAAATTTGGCCCGCTTAAGCCGGTCGTACGTAGTAATATGCAGTAACACATTATTGCAGCGCTGGGGATTTGCGAGGGCTCAGCAGTTTAAGCCACGAGGGAAAGCAGGAGACTATTCAGCCGCCGCCGCATAATGGAACGCGCACTCGTAAATAGAGATTTTACACCGCGTATAAAAAGAGAAGTGTGCACGACGTGCGCTTGCTCACATTAGTCGGCTCTCTTATTATGAGGGCAGCAACAGATGCGAGGGCGAATGAGGTGCTAAAATTGATATACGCCAGATTAAACAAACAAGTAGTGCCAAACACGGCCGCAGACTAAGTAAGAAGATTTGCTGATACGCTGCTCAATTAAATTATCCTGTGGGCTTTAGTACTTCTGCTCCAATGATTGCTCGGGAGCTAGTTTTTGCAAGATCGTTCGATCGGATCGTCCACTCCATTAGTTTTTACTGCATGAGTTGGAAACAAGTTTCAATTACAAGGCTTTGGTGAACGGTTTTTGCTACACAAGCAATAGATGGGAGCCAGAGATATCCTATCCCCTAGAGCGACTATAAATTTGAATTGATGCATTTTACTGCTGTTTAAAGTTGAGGACTCGTTCAATTACTTTTTAATGCTATTAATTAAATTTTGTTCTGTTTTCTTCATTTATAGAAAGTCGTCGCCAATTTAATCATTTTGTGTTAAGTGCATATCATTATTAATTTATTTACATAAGCGCAACTGAGCGCAACCAAATAGTAAAGTAAAGTTTTTTTTTTAAATATTTTATTTTCTGCTTTGGGGAAAAAAATAAAAAAAATTATTATCTCCACGAAAGTTAAAAAGAAAATATTATTCATAAAAAAATTAAATTCACATCATTCCCATTTTGATATAGAAATATTGGGTTATTTTAAACTCTAATTTAAAATATTGAATGTTGAGCTTGTTAGATATGTGTGGATAACAAACAATTAAGGTATTACACTTAAACAAAGGAATTTGGGAAAAAAAATAATTATACTGTGCATAAATGTGTAATTTTAAATAATATTAATTTCAAAAGAAGGATGTTAAAGGCAGTGTGTGTAAAGAGCTGCTGCTTCAAAGCTTATAGTAAACGATTTTTCTTTTTAATTATATCTTCACTTTTTTTCCTTGCGCTAGAGAGAGAAAAGTGATAACAATGGACTCCCTCATTTCAATTTTCCTCGCAAAACCACCCCAACTCGCTTAGAGCAGACGCACGTCTCTCTCCAGAGGATAATTTTTAATTGATTTCTTTCACACCTCGGCACACAAAGCGGCGGCGAACGAGAGGTGGACGGCTTCTTTTCAGCCCGAATAAAGCGGCGCGAGGGGAGCTTTTCGCACAAAGTCGGCTGATGAAAGAGGCGCAAAGAGAGCTAAGCACACACACAACCATCAAGTTGCCATTCAAAAATTCGAAACAAAACGTGCGCCGGAGCGTCGACCATAACTTTTGTGTCCCCCCTGCTAAAAATTCCGCTCGCCAGCAGCTCTTTGCGCCATCAAATTATCTCCGACGGCGTAATTTCGTCGCGCTCGCGAGGAAAGAAAGCCTTTCAAACTTAATGAAAATAATAATTAAAATGCCATCTTTCATTCTTGGAGCTCTTTGAGACAGCGGTAATGATGACGACAATGACGCCGCCGTCTTCGTGGCTCCTGCTAATGGCAGATCGCACTATACTTTATTCTCCCCTTGTTTGTGCGAATTTTTTTAATCAAGAAGAGAGGGAATTAACAATTTTTAAGGAACAAACATTTATAGTAGAGAAAAAATTTATATTTATACGATTTATACTAATTAAATATATGGGCGAACACAGATTTTTGTTCATTGTTAAGACATTGTAAAAAATAATATATAGGCTCAGAAATTTTTTTAAGTGCCATTATTATTCAAATTCCTTTAAAGATGTGTGGACAAAACATTTTTTACTAATTTCCAATTAGATGTTGGAATTATTTTCCAATAGCCGTTTGTAGCTAAAAATTGTACTTGGTTCAATTAGTTGATTTAGTTTCAATGTGTATTAATAGTTAATATATTTTGGTGCCATTACTTATTATTTCACTTGCAGGATACTGAAAATTTCCAACATTTGGATTCTTTTTTACCCGCTTCAGGGTCAAGTTTTCTGAAACCAAGAGTTAACCTGTCATTGAAATTGTATTACAATTAATTTTACCTGTTAATTACCTGAGACCTGGACAGAAGCATCGACAGAGAAGCCCGATAGTTATCAGTAAAATAAGTGCCCCAACAAAAAATGCAGCAAGCATTATCCAGTCATTTTTATCAAAACTGAAAAAAATTTGTGAAATAAAATTTACAAAAATAAAATGATTTTTAAATTTTTCTACTTTTATATGTTTTGAAATGAATATAAAAGGTAATCTTACATGCAAGGCTCATTTGGGTCTCCACTTGGCTTCCATCCATTACCACATTCGCATATGGAATTTGCATCAATTCGTACTATGCAAGACATTGGAAAACAACAGTTTTCCAATGCAGGGACACAAATCTGATCCAATCCTAACAACGAATTTCAATTGAAATAATTAAATTCTGTGTAAAAATATTTGTTTCGCAAATGAAGAAGTTAGTAAATTCAATTTGCGTGTAATTTGTATACTGTACCTCTGCACTCATCTTTGGTGATATTTTCGAAAAGTTCACGAGAGAGTAGCCTAGCACTTGACATCTTTCGAAGTTAAAAATTTGTATGAAAAACTGATCAAACACAAATAAATCAGAGCTATCTTTTAGCTCTGCTGTGTAGTCTTTAGCAATGATGATTGCAGTTTGAGATTGCATGCAAAAAGTGCGTCCGTTTCATTCTTCGCCTTTATCGATTCGGCTGGAAGATTAATTTTATCTTTTTATTACGTCCAAGGCACACAAAGCAAATAGATAAGGCTAACAGTTGGAGTATAATGTCATAAGTCATAATTTGCGTACACCCATATCGCGATATTGATCCATTTTTCATTCCATTGATAAGATGGGAAGTCAATATTATACACCATTGTCTAAAATTTAAAAATTGTTATTAAAATTTCAGAATTTCTCGATCAATAAAGGGATGGTCAGTGGAAGGGCAAATCTCTGGAAATAAGTAATCGTCTTTGCGCAAACACACTCGATGGGATGTGGTAATAACCATAAAGTCTGTAAACAAGAGGCTAAGCGCAAGTGGAAACAACCCTTTCTGCTCTGAACGCGCCGGGGAGCGAATTAAAAGGTCTTTACGGCCGTGCAGACTCGACAAACACGAATTCCTCGGGGTGCAATAATCGCCGCAGCAGTGTGATCGGATTTGCCGGGAATATTAAGTGTAGCGTGGAATTGCAAACAGAAACCGATAGGAGCGAGCGTGCGTAATAAACGCGAGCAAACACGAAAATAATACACGCGATAATTTCCGTTTCATACTCGGGCGAGCATAAATTATCGCTATGGTTTTGGCGCGACTATTTGTCGCCGGCGCCAAATCAACGTTTCGCTCATTGCGTTTGATCCAGCCGTTTAATTACTTTTTCAATTACGACTGTCGAAGAGGAAAAAAAGCGCTGTTTGGTCCTTTGTCGGCGGCGGCGCTTGTGATGTGTGTTGTTTTCAATCTGGCGTCGTGTCGCGCAGCCAGTTGCCATGGTGACCAAATCAGACCCGGCTGCATGGGCTTCTCTTGTTTCAAACATGCACCAAATTGAATCTGTAGAAATGCCTTTGGAAAATTAATTGGATTCCGGCGACGACGAGCCTGCTCAAGGGAACAAACAAACATTCGCAGCAGCATCACCGCTGGATGGCTGCACCCTTTGTCCACAGCGACGCACACCTACGCGCCAGTTTCGTAAATAAATCGTCGTGGAATTGAATTTTGATCCTCTTTTCCGTCTGCGTACACAGTGAACAAACAAGGATATAGCGCGTTTCAAACAACTGATGCGTATCAAGTTTTGAAACCAGTATCACATTGACAAAAAACTTTTTGAATATCAAATTATAGCATTTTATGAAAATGATCATAAAAATATTTGCGTATATAGCAATAAATGTAGATAATAAAAACAATTTCATCAGTTTTTCTGGTGGGCATTTATATCAGGAAAGTATAAACCGGTATAAGCTAAGTATTAATTGCCAAATCGTTTTGATTTTTCTTAGGTTTAAAGTTTTGTTCAATTTAAATTGTCATGCGGTTGAATTAAATGAATTTAAAGATTTGTGTTAGCTAAATCTTCATTCGCAAATTTTTTTCATGTGTTTCAATACAGACCAAAAGATCACTGCAAAACCATAAAATTCAGGTCACGTTCGTCCCACAAAAATGTAGGCTACGTCTTGAGAATCAGAATCTTTCTGACGCCTCCTTCAGCAGGTCAGCGTCAGCACATTTCTATAAAGCAATCAGACGCGAATGTAACTTCAAAGACCCCAATCCCCTTAGTCTCCAAGCGTATTACAGTCCTCTAACCCGAGATTAGTCTAAATTAGATATTTAGCGTCATGGGAGGTGCGAAGAGAACGGTCGGTCGCACCTTTATCGCATTAAAAGCGCGGAGCAAGCAGGTGTGTAATGCGTGCAGATCGCGGCGGCGTCGCCATGGAAACGAGCAGATGACACACAAAACGATCTCCAGGGATATGGTACTGGAAAAGGCACGATGATGATGATGGGCCGTCGAGAGCAAAACGACGTGCTTTTAGTTTTGAGCACTCGAGACGCAAACAAAAACAAACTAATGAATGGTAGTCAGAAGAGATGGAGCACGGCGTGACGAGAAGTCATCCGGCAAAAGAGTGTCTCGGGATATAAAGAAGCAAAACGTGACACAGCATCCAGATTGAACCGAAAGCTCGACTTTAAATGCGTAGTCTAAATTCAGTTTTCAAGGACTATAGACATGAGCATAAAAAAAATTGTTTTTATGGTGAATTCATGAAACGTATAAAATGTTAAATTTTGTTAAGCTAGATCGATTTGATGGTTTATTTTTATTTTTTTTTATTTTGTATAAAAATTGAGTTAGGTTATAAGCTGCTTTTTGTCACTTTTTAAAGTTTTTATCGTTTTCTTAATACCGAAATTGAATTGTTTTATTTCATTTATTTTTAATAATCTATCTAATCTGAAGTCCTATTAAATTTATTTTAATCAAAACATTTACAGTCCAAGCGAGTCAAGTAAAATTAAAACAGATAAAATAAAGATATCTATTCAGAGCTCTATCTAGGCAGATTTAATTTTTTTAATGAATGAAGACCAAATATGAAGTTAAATTCCAAGCGTAATAAAAATTTGAAAAATATTTCCCGGAAGTATGCAGAAAAATCAGTTTTAAAGATGCATTCATTTTTTGATTCCATAATACTGAACACTGAACTGGGTATAATTTAATAGCCCTTTTCTCTATCTCGTACAAATTCATTTTACTTCCAATTCTCCATCTCACAGAGAGTGTCAAAGTGAGTCCTGTAAGCCGAGTCTACCAAGGCCTTTGACCATATTAAGCGGCTCTAATTTTCACCCCAGCTGACGCAAGCCGGGCGGGCTGGCTGGGGTTGCGCGGTTTCCTTGTGTCATTTCCTCATCAAGCAGCCGGCGGCACTCGATTTTCGTTGCCCGCCGGCGACAAATCACCGTTGCAGCGAGCGCAACTAATAATAATTGGCCGGGCGGAGTTTCATTTGCGAGTGCAATGGAGCGAGAGTGAAAGCCAAATGAGCCGCGAATGTTTTTTAATTAAAAGTCGGCGACGCGTCGATTCGAGAGAGCGCAGTCTCGGAGCTCTCACAAAAGTAGAGAAATACTTTTTTTTACTTCACTCTCGGAAATTGTTTTACGACTCTTGACTGCTTTTGGTTCCTTAATTAATTGGAATGGAATTTAATCAATTAGTGATTTCCTCGGCAGGGATTCATTGACGTGCCCTTTTTTGGCTTGATGAGTTTTAATTGAAATTGCTGGCAACGGCATGGTTTATCAGTGTTCTTTTAGTGATTCTATAACAAAAATGACCACACAAAAATTCAAGTATTCTGTGTGCGTAAAATATGTTTTAAAAATATCATAAACATTAAATAAAAATTTGACATATTTTAAATAATACAAAATTATAAAAATTTTATTTTATTTTATTTTTTTATAGAAATTGACGGAATTTAATTTTAATTTAACTATATTTTAATTTTTATATTTATGGTTAAAACCTAAACCTAAATAATAGATATTTAAAAAATGCAATTTAAATTTAAATTTATTTTAAATGAATACAAATATTTGTTCATAAAGGACCTCTTAAATATTGAAATCTGTTAAAATAAATTATTAAGACGACGCATAATATTTTGTATTGTAAATTAAATTTATAATTATAATTAAAGTTGCAATGCATATTAAAATCATTCATTTTCAACAATTTTTAGACTCATAATTTAGCATTTTAACCCTTTTGGCTGCTCTGATATTAGGTGTTCTCAATGCAACGTTTTAATCTCACCCAGCCATGAAGGGGGATATTCGGGCTTTTGGCGTGATATAGTTAGAATTCTCCTGTGAATGCGGATGAGTGGCATCGAGAGAGTTGATGAATTTAATTTACGCATCCATCCAAAACGGCACGCAGAGATCGCGATTTGGACGTATTATCTGCGAAGTGCAGGCGTTAATTGAATTAGGCTGATGCAATTACCGCGTTGAAAGGGATGGATGGGCATATCGTACTTGCGAGGGAAAATTCGGCACGCAGGGGCTGACCCAACTGCTCTTTCCCTCCATTCATCCTCTTCACACCTAGCACTTCTAATCTCTCCCGACTGGCAGCTAGCAAAATTGAAAGTTGATTACCTCCAATTCCATTTTTATCCAACAGACCCTCCGACCATTCCCCACCAAGAGACGGAAAAAGCGGCGCCTTTTTGGAAAGACATGGGAGGCGCGTAAATTCTGCAACGTTCGACCAGCGCTTCTCTCTCGCTCGCTTGAACCGCGAATTTATTTAAAATTTATTCATCAGCGCTGATAAAAGTGGGGTTCGAGAGCGGCGTCTTAGCGGCACCGGCAAGAGAAGAACTCGCTCATGTTTAATTCATGACGCCAAATGTGCTAGCTTCTGCTTGTGCCTCTGGAAAATGTGTTTGCCAAAGATGTGAAAGAGTGTGTGCACACACCGTTTATGGATTTTAACATTCCCTTTTTTCTTTTCCGCCCTTCTGCGTGCTCTTGGCAAACGCGTTTTCGCTAAGAGGCCATAAATACGCACGCGAATCCAGGAAAGGGTTATTTCCATGATGAAAAGCTTCCTTAGTGCAAAAAAGCGAAGGGGAAGCTATATTTCCGGCTCATTAATTTCCAAAATGGTGAATAATTGCAGCTCTGAGCCTAAATTTTTGTGCCTGAAGAAAGATTTTAGTTTTATTTCTCACTTAATCCGAGCTTGTGAGTTTTGGATATTATTAAAAAAAAAAAAAAAAAAATATAATATTTTTTGCTCCATTTTGCTACGCTTTGCGACTTTTTGCAATATTTGATCTCCTTTCAAAAAGAGAAAAAGGAAAACAGAAAAGATAAACACGTATTTTATATTTGTTTGAAAGCAACCATCCATTATTCTTTTCCCTGACAGCGCACTTTTGCTTTTTTGTACGTCGAGCTAGCATTGTCGTCATGCACGTGAACTGCGTAAATCGTGAGAGTCAAATTTGGGTGTGCGGCGCCTTGCTCTCTTCGGGGACCGCTCAAAGCACGCCGACGAGACGCGCGTCACAAAAATCGAGAGGACCCTTGTAGCGAGCGATGACGAATAAATTGCAAAGCGTCCCACC